TACTTCGGCCTGCTTCAGCTTTTGCCTCGGCTTGTTGGAGCACGCGGTGCCCATCGTCGAAATCGACGAGGGAACCGTCATCTGTTGTTCATCTGGTAGGGATGGACGTTTGTTGGATGCATTTAAGTTCAGAAAATTCTCTAATATTTCTCAAAGATAATCAATTTCGCTTGCCGTAGTCTTCGATAGCAACAATAGCTCAATTGTACTTCCATTTACTTATGTTTCAGATTACACTAATAACTAATAACTAGCAAGTATGAACTAAAGATTATTTGCACTTCTGCTCAAATTCAAACAAGGACTTTTGTGTCTGGCCACTTTGCCCAAAAGCCAAGTAGTTCTGTAAATAATTTTGTATCAAGAAAGGGAAAAGGGAGCTATTGATTACAAGGTTCAGGCAATAAGCAGGTTTCAGCTAAAGGTATCAGCGTCGATTTAGTCAAAAATATACTACTTTTCTTCGACCGACAGCTAATGAAAATATACAGTGATCATAACTGACAAACAGCCGACAGGTTTTCATTTGTTCCAATTTTTGAACCGTATGCCACCCTTCTCAGGGCCCTCGCGGCATTGCTCAGGACCCAGATGGGCAAAATTAGCGCGAGGGCCACAAAAATGAAGGCAATACCATTGGCCAAATTTGGATTGGGCTGCAGCAGTGCGTACTGCAGACAGGAAAAGGCTCCAGCCAGAGAGGCGCTGACTCCATAGAGAGTTCCAAAGTATTCCAGTGGAAATCCGGTTAGAAGGAAGGAGGCAAATGTGCTAAAGAGGAAGCCTCGCATGATGACCAGGAAGAAAAAGTGGACATAGTAGGCCTCCTCCCTGGGTACAAACACGAGGCAGCTGCTTACTGTGGTGGCCAATATCATAACCAGCATGGCAACCGACTGGGGAGAGACGAGCAACCAAAAGACTGCAGACTCGTTCACTGGCACTTCTCCGTCGCTGTTGCTGCTTTCCGCGGTCAGTGCGCGAGATATCAGTGGCCTAAACTTGGCTCGCAAACAATCGATGGTCGAGCCACAGCAAAAGCCACCTATAATGCCAGCACCAAGGACAAAGGAAAGAATCCTGCCCATCCGGGCGACGGCCTCTGCGTGCTCAAGGTGAAATTGACTCAGGGCACCGAGCTGGGTGAGAAAGAAGGTGAATCGGAGGAGAGCGCAAGAGAAGAATAGGAGTCCCATCATGAAAGGAAGGGAAAGGAGAGATTTGAGCACGGTGGGAAAGCGTCGGTGCAGAATGTTGGCAATCTGTTCGTCCTCTGTTATAGGAGTGCGATCGTCGCCTGTGGAATCTTCTTGCTTGAGTTTCTCAATCTGGATATAAGAAAGGGTAGAACGGTGTGAATAGTTTTTCTACAGAAAGTCGCCTGAAAAGTGCTTGGACTTCTATTTAGACCTATCCTTGTGGATTTCTAAAACAGTACATAAAAGGGCAGATATATTGAAAAATTGGGTAAAATTAACGTCTTTCAACATTTTTGTTCTCACAGATTTTCAAATATGTCCGTAGCGTTTTTTCAAGTTTTATAATCCTGCTGAAGTCATTTTATCAGGTCATTTACGTTGTACACAGATCATTCTATATCCTTCGGTTTTTATCTTAGCCAGCTTGCATTTCAAGTGTGTCAACATGGAAGGAAATCCCAGTGGATAGTTATACTAGAG